AAAAAAAAAAAAGTCTCCAGACTTGTCCCTGGGAGCAAAATTGCCCACCCACCCCCACCCCCGCCAGAACAATTGGGCTGGAGACACATCAAAAAAACACTTCAGGAGGCCGGGCTCAATGGCTCACACCTGTAATTCCAGCACTTTAGGAGGCCTGGGCTGGTGGATCACGAGGTCAGGGGTTGGAGACCAGCCTGGCCTAGATGGTAAAACCCTGTCTCTACTAATAATACAAAAATTAGCTGGGTGTGGTGGTGCGTGCCTGTAGTCCCAGCTACTTAAGAGGCTGAGGCAGAAGACTCACTTGAACCTGGGAGGCAGAGGTTGCAGTGAGCTGACATCCTGCCACTGCACTCCAGCCTGGGCTACAGAGCTAGACTCTGTCTCAAAAAACTAAAAAAAAAAAAGCAACAAACAAACAAAATACTTCGGGAAAGACTGGGCATGGCAGCTCACCAAAGTAATCCCAGCCATTTGTGAGGACTGAGGTCAGGAGTTCGATACCAGACCAACCAACGTGGTGAAACCCTGTCTCTATTAAAGTACAAAAATTAGTCCCAGGTACTTGGGAAGATGAGGTGGGACACTTGTTTGAATCCTGGTCTCCATACCCCTATCTTAACCCAGACACTGCGTTCTATTGATTCCAGGGATTTAAATAAACTCAACCAATTGCCAGTCAGCAAATCTTGCACTCCAGCCTGGGTGACAGAGTGGGACTCTGTCTCAAATTTTGTATTTTTAGTAGAAACGGGTTTTTTCCATGTTGGGGGGTTGGTCTCGAACTTCCAACCTCAGGTGATCTGCCTGCCTCGGCCTCCCAAAGTGCTGAGATTACAGGTGTGAGCCACTGCAACCAGCCTATATCAACTAACTTTCTAGTAACTTCCTAGGTCAGTAACATTACTATAAAATTCTCAAAATGTACATGAGTGGTTGGTTCTTACATTTCAATAAGTCAGAGTTTCTAAAACCTTATATAATAAAGGGTACAAACCATTTTTCCAAGCCATCCTCAATACATAAACGCCGATTTTATAATCACATGCAGTGGTAGGGAGTCATAAATGCCCCGAAGGCGTTCCATAAACCCCAAATTCAGAACCTGTGTTCTAAGTTCTAAGCCCACGTATAGAAAAGCACCTCTAGCAACAATATTACAATGCAGGAGCCTTTTATAGGCTTAGCTAATCTAAACTGATTATCTCCTTCCTTAGCTGGACCCACCAAAATTCAGTTTTCTTTCTAGAACTTTCCATTAGTGTAATTCCCTTCATTCCAACTTCACTAACCACAGGGCCAGAAATCTCGGTGACATATGCGACTCCTCTTCTTACATTAAATTTGTTGTCATTATTATACAGACAGCGTTAGCTGCTCTGCGCCTCCAGATTGCACAAGTCCCTCGGTCTCTCACTCAAAATACTACTGTTGCTTTCTAAGCAATGAAATATACACGTAGGCAATGCATTATTGTCATTCAATCAGTGAGTTCTGGATAATGCAGATACAAAAATAGACACATTTTCTACTCTCAAGAAGCTTACAGGCATTGGGGGTGGGGAAGCATAAAATGGAAAATTAAAACAAACTGAAAAGATGTGTGATAAGAGAGAGTCAACTCAGGTAGAGGGAGTCAACGAGAAGGTTCTTAAGAGCCCGAAGACCCATTTCCCAGAAAACTCTAGTTCACCTCATAATTTGTATGGTTAATTACTAACAGCATTCGCTCTCTTGCTTTGCCCTTCAGCTGTTTTAAGTGTTTACGAACTGTCTCCAAAAATAGATGCGAATTTCCCTGATGGCAGAGATCGTAAAGAGTTTATCTATCCACTTTCTCACAGCGCCACCCCGTCCCTTACAGCAGGAATGCAATCAAGATTTGTCAATGGTTCACCCAAACTAACAGGAGTGGCTGGACTACGCACACTTAGGTAATACGTACACGTGTCAAAACGGCAGAAAAGCAACCACAATTTCAGAAAAACAAACCGTATTCCTTTCGGAAGGCCACCTCTGCCACATGCAGCCAAAGCGCTTGCATGGGGTGAGGGGTGGTGGGAAGGGCACTAGAAGGCTCCCCCAGATAAAAACAAAAGACTCCATCCAATCGCCTCAAACACACTAGGAAACCTCCTCGACTCGCCAGCTCAGAGGAGGGGGCCAGGTTGGCCGCACCACTCCCCACTTAAAGCGGTGAGTCTCCGCGGGGGAGGGCAGGAAGCCTGCGATGGGGGCGACTCGGTCGCTCCGGCGCTTTCCCTCTCCCTTCTCTCGTCTTACCTGCTTGGCCAGGAACCTGCCCAGTTCACTGCGGCTCTTCTCATTCTTGCCTGCGATTAGCCGCAGCGGCGCGGCCGCCACCTCCATCAAGAAGTGCTCCATGACCCAGGGCCCTCAACCGAGCGGCCACCTGCGCTCCCTGCTTCACGGCCAGCGTCCCCAAGCCGCCGGGGCCCCAGTGCCCGAGCAACCACCGACTACGCCCCCAGGACAGCCGCCCTCGACTCCAGCGCCGACACCTGGAGAGCTGCAGCACACGTGGGTGAACACACGGCGTTTGACGTCATCAGTTCGGGACCTCAACGCGACGCCCTCCCGGCCCCGCCCCCTCTGCGGCGGAAACTCCGGTCTTTAATGTCCCGCCATTTCCGGGAGGGAAATGGAGGCAAAAATCCAGGCGGTTTTGATTCTTGAGTGATGGGGGGGGCTCGCGAACACAGCACGTGGCGAAACAGAGAAAATAGTGCGCTTGGCCGGGAAGAAAAGGGAGGCTCCACGGGCCTGTGATTATCAGCCCACGGTGCCTTCCCTCTGCCTGAACACCGGAAAGATCAGATGTGAAAGAAAAGCTGATTCTCGGCCGGATGCGGTGGCGCATGTCTTTATCCCAACAATTTGGGAGGCCGAGGCGGGCAGATCACTTGATGTTACCAGTTTGAGACCAGCCTGGGCAACATGGCAAAACCCCGTCTCTATTAAAAATACAAAAATTAGCCCGGCATGGTGGCGCGCCTGTAATCCCAACTACCCAGGAGACTGAGGCAGGCCAATCGCTTTAACCCAGAAAGCAGAGGTTACACTGAGCCGAAATCGCCCAACCGCACTCCAGCGGGGGGACAGAGCAGACTTTTCTGTCTAAAAAAAAAAAAGCTG